CAATGAGATAAATGGAGTCATAAAGTTATCATATACGGAGTACTTGTATATAAATTCATACGGAGTATATCAAAGCCAGAGTATATACATTCTCCCTTGGACAATTTCTCTATATTCTTCCTCTTACATGTTAGGGAAAATGATTTTAAATAATATCAACTATGACACAAAAATCAATAATAATACGTACTCTTTTGGTCCCATATAATTTTTCTCTGTTTGACTTAAATCGGAGTTTAAGAAAGTGGGAACCAATGTAAATGTATGATTGTAGTTGGATAAGAAAAAAGTAAATGAATGTTAGGATGTTTTTCTTTTGGACTGTTTTCAGACCCAGACCAGATCAGACCAGACTTCCGTAGTTATAAATACACAGAGACCAGACGTTACCAGACCAGACTAGACCAGCAAATTTCAGTCCAAAAGGAAACATCCTTAGTCATACAAAATTTTCTAAAAAAGGAAATATGAAGATTTTTTGGGACTTCCTAAAAGGGAAAGTGAAAATAATATTATGGGTAATATCAAAATATGAAACAAGTGACCTCATCTTGAAATAACCATAATTTGGTTGTTTGATACTTGCATTAGTTTGTATGCCTTAAATGGCTGAATTTGTAGTAGAAAATAACTCTCTCATTTTTGTTATGTATTCCAAAAGTCAGATTTATTTAAAAAAAGTACGTATCATTGTTAGTTTATTGGTTCACGGTCATAACTCATACCCCTTCCACCAATTGGACATCGTCAATTTTTATTAGCGTGTGAAAAATGGTATGAGTGGGATTTGAGTTCCTTATTACTAGCAAATGAAAAGATTCTAAACTAGTAAATTTAAAATGAACAAAACATCAAACTTTTTACAGCTTTAATTTATTTAATTGATTAAACTTTTCCTAGATATACTTTAAATTAATTTATACAATGTGTTATGCTGGTATCCGAATTTTAATGCAACACTATTAAATTAACGAAGGAAGATACTATAAAATTTTGATGTGCAAACCACACAATAATTATTGTACTCCACATTGCTTTGCACAGTTGGAGAAGAAGTCTATACTACGTACTACGTATGTAATTGTAAAAAGCTTGTATGCCATGGAGGACCTAGGGGGGCTATCGGGGCAAGTGCCCCGGCTTCCGTCCAGGAATTCTACTACTAGTACTTAGGGTAAAATATGTGTCTCTGCTTTCGGTCAAAAATTTCACTACTACTACTTCGAGTAAAATTAGTGCCCCAACCCGTACAAAAAATGATTCGTATCAGATAATCAAAATACTAAAATGTTACGGTTATATAAATTAACAGTTAATATACAATATTTAAATTTTAGTTGAATTAAAATAAAATATACAAGTATATTATTCTCAAAAAAGGAGAAAAAATAGTCAAGGGTTAATATACGGCCAACTAAAAGTAATCTAAAACACGTGATAAAAGTTTAAAAACCAAGTTGAAGGGCCCAAAAATAAACTATTAGTACTATTTCAGCCCAATTTTACATCCCTTCTAGCGCCCAACTTCAAGCCATTTGCGCAATTCAGCAATTGACTGAACGAGAAATCAGAAGGCCAGGCTCGCTGCTCGCAAGTCGCACCAGTCTCGCAAATGAGAAGGTCAGGCCTCGCTGCTCGCAAGTCGCACCAGTCTCGCAAATGAGAAGGCCGGGCCTCGCAGTCTCGCGCCAACGCCAATCCTAGATAAGTCTTCCAATTTCTGTGAGTCAAAGCTACTGAACCTCGCGGAATTATATTCATGCGATTTTTCATATGTTGATCGAATGGAGCTGAAAGAGAAACTCCAGGTGTGAATATATGAAATGAGAACAAATGAATTAGTTTTTACCGTACAGACTATTGGTGAAGTTTACAAAAAGATGATTGAGCTTAAAGTTCACAATTCTTTTCACTTGGTATATCTTCTGATTGAGTTGACTTTAGTATTACCAGTTGCAACATCCACCGTTGAAAGCGCCTTCTTTGCGATGAATATTATCAAGACAATTCTTTGCAATTAGATAGGAGATGATTATCTTACAGATTGCTTGGTGTGCTACATCGAGAGAGATGTTTTTATGAGTATTGATAATGAAACTATTATGCAACATTTTCAGAATATGAAAACTCGTAGGTTGATTTACCAAAGTTGCAGAAATGAACTATTTAATACGTAGTATGTAATTAACTACTTCGTATAATTTATGCTATTGCCTTACTTTTTACCATCTTTATTACATTTGAAAATTTTATTATAGAGCAAGTTTAGTGTCTAGTGTGCCCCTGCTCTGACAAATCTGTGGGTCCGGCACCGCTTGTATCAGTTGTATGTACCAAAAAAATGTAAATAGATTACGGAATATATGTGAAGTAACTTCATCTCTATAATTTGTACAAAGTAGCAGACGTATCTTGTCTCTTTCACAGTTTGTGAACATTATTTTATTATCAACTTAATTAAAAAGAATTTGTAAATCATACTTCTTTAAACAATGAAGTAGATAATAAAAGTTATGTAAGAAAGTCATAATAAAAATAACAATCAATATATATATATATATATATATAAAAGAGGAACTTTTTAAGAGCATACAAAGCGCCACGTAATCCTGCCATGTCATTATATAAAACAATTATTTACTTATTTTTATACCTTTTGTTTTTATTAGATTCTATTTTTGATTGCATATTGATATGGAAACAAAAATCCTTAGAAATCCACCTTAATTAATTTTGTAAGCTTCAAATAAGTAAAATATTTTTTGGTTATCAAAGTGAAATTCTAATAACGTTTATTGATATGGAAACTAATTTATATTAGTTTACTAAAACGAATTAAATAGAAACAAATATGCAAATTAGTTTACTTAATAATTTGACACCTATTAATAAATTAGTAAGCTTCAATAAGTAAATAATTAAAAATGAAATTAAAAATCATAACCAACATAAAGTATATATATTTTCACAAGTATATACGTTTAGCCTAGCCAAATAAGTAAAAATTTTGGGTTGTTTCTTTATTTTACACCTAAAATTTAAATATGCCTTCACTTTTGAAATAGATTCATAATCCAAATTAGAAAATCTTTATAGGTTTACAAATTCCTACTTTTATTTTAATAGAATGTTTTTAATTTGATTGATTTCAGTTTCAGATTAAATAAGATAAGATCAAACTTTAATAATTATAACAATAATTCACATAAAAACAGACATCTAATAGATCATATTAATTCATACCAAATCAAACCCGAAATTTTAATTCAATTTAAAACGTTCTTATTAATGAGTAAATTGTAAGATCTAACAATTAAGAAATATAGAATTTTTTTATTATTGGGTTCATAACAATTATGTTTACTTGAGTTGCTTATGTAGAAGACCAATTTAACTTTTTTTTCATATATTTTTTTCTAAACAAATGGAATATATTTCACATATATTTTTCATTATTCAGAAGATTCCACCTATTTAACCAGAATTCAATCAATTTAGTATTATCAAACAGACTCTATATTAGACTAAGTTTATTTTTCTTTTAAATCACATTATATTTGATCCGATAGACATTAAATTTCAAATTAACTAAATTACATACTGCCCGTGCATCGCACGGGCTTGAAAGCTAGTAACTATATAATTCAATAAACTATACACTCAAACAGAAACGCTAATACAAGTATCAAACTAAAGGTAAAAAATAAAAGGGAAAATGGTCAAATAGGCTCTATATAGGAGGAACTTACATAAAAAGGTCAAATAAACCTTTATATAGGAGGCTCTATCCGGCCATCTCCATTTGGAGCAGTTCCTGGTGGAATTTTTTGATGAATTTTTTTAATCATCTTATTCATCAAGTCTAGTTTACTCATACCAAATTTTAGCTAAAGCTTCAATCAAGAAGGCATTTAAATGAATTCTTGAAAACAACTGCGCAGTTATTTTCAAGAATTCATTTGATTGCCTTCCCGACTGAATTGTTAGCTGAAATTTGGTATGAGTAAACTAGACTTAACGAATAAGATGCTAAAAAAATTCATCAAAAAATTCCATCGTGAGAGCATCTCCAATGCTATAATGTCCACGGTGCACATGTGGCATGAATGATAGCCACAAAATTATTAGCAAATAAATTATTTCTCTCCTTATTTGAATAATTTTATACAATTTTGGTAAGTTTTTCCCTGCAATGTCAACAACAATGTCAACATTAGACGGTCTCCTTGACATTGTGGAGAAAAACTTACCAAAACTGTATAAAATCATTCAAATAAGGAGAGAAATAATTTATTTACTAATATTTATGTGGTCATCTCTCATGTCACGTGTGCACCGTACACATTGCACCATTGAAGATGCTCTGAACTGTCCCAAATGGCGTCGGAGGACAGAAACTGTTATATTTAACCTAAGGGCCTGTTTGGATGGAGTGTTTGAAAGTGTTAGTAATGGAAGTGTTAGTAAGGGCTCGGAAGGGAAGGGAAGTGTAAGTGTTGGACATAATTTTACCTTATTTGGGAGAGTCAAATGAATGAAGTGTTAATAATGGAAGTGTTAATAATTTTACCCTGAGGCAAAAGAAACGATTAAAGAGAAGAGATGAAAAAACAAATCATCAGACCCGTGGGAAAGACATTCGAAGTGAAATGTCGAAGCATTTTATGTTTTTCGGTTAAATGAGAAGGGCAATAATTGTCCAACACCTCAAAACACTCCAAATCGGGGTGTTAAAAAAATGGACAATTGAAGTGTTGGGAAGGTTATTATTAACACTTCTTAACCATTACTAACACTTCTTAACACCTCTGGATTTTTCTCCCAAACAAGTGTTAGCATTAACACTTACTAACACTTCCATTACTAACACTCCTCAACACTCAATCCAAACAGGCCGTAAGTTTGAGGGTCTATTTGACTCTTTTCCTAAAATAAAATATTGCCTTTTTAGTTTTTCCACGAAAGCCAAAACTCAAAAGGGGAGGCAAATCTTTCTATGTATAGCGTGGTATCTAAATTTCTGAAATTTCAAATGACTCCTCAAGTATCTTCAGATTGCAATTCGCACCTAAGATTTGGGCTTGTAAATTCAGACAACCTCGAACAGATTGTCTTCCTTGACAAAGCTTTGAAATTTGCATTTCTATTGACCGTCTGTTTGGTTAACGATGGTGCGTCTTCTCCCAGCTCTGATTCTCGCCGCTCTTGCAAGTAGCTTGGATGTTATTTTTCTCGAAAGGTAAACAATGCTATATTGCATTTTAGCTTGCGGGACTGGCGTATTCTTTTCTTACGGATTTTATTACATCATGGCATTTAGCTGCATATACTTCATTCGTGCAAGTATTTTGGTTTTCTTCATTTCAGAACATGTCATCTTTATCAATCCAATTGAGTGTTTCTCCTCTTTATCAATCCAATCGAGTGTTTCTATTCAATGCTGTCAACAAATTTGGTTTTAGACAGGATTTGAAACCCTTGATTAGAAAATCTCGTTATAAGAGTTCCTCCATATACGGACATATAGAGCACCAAGCTGACCATCATTTCAGCATTGATAGTGAATCTTGCCATCTCATTCACCCACTAAATTTGGGTGGGATTACACTGCACACTTGTAATGTGGCATCACCAGAATTGTTACATATGTATGCTGATAGGGAGGCTGTGACAACAACAAGCACATGCTTGGTGTAACTCATCTCGAGTTGCGTAAAAACCCTATATTTTATGTGTACATTTTTTGTGGAAAAGTGTATGTGTTTTTTATTTACCAGCCTACCTCATTGTTTTCTGCTGCCCTCAACACTGCAAGTGATTGAAAATTTTGAGTGTCTTACTGTCTTCATATTTTTGGGGATTTGCTGCTTAAAGGTATTAGAGGAGTATTTCCATACTATATATTCCAATTTAATATCTTTATATTTGATCAGTGGAATGACTTACCATGCAAAATGACAACTTATTGAAGTATAAGTATATCTGTGAGCTTTTTTAGTCTTAGTTAAATTGATTCATTGTTCATTATTTGTTTGTGCTTAATTGGCTCATATATTATTCAGACTTACCACTATATCATTTTTCAAACCTTACATGAATGGTTACCACGGACTATATTGCAATATGCACAAACGAGCTGCTGTCATCATGACATGTGTTATGTTGTCATCAGTCGAGGTGATCTTACCCTAACAGTTTGATCAAGGAGTTCCATGAATGACAACAAATTCAGTAATGCCACCTTAGCAGATGGCAGCATAAAAACATGATATCAGTGCTAATGGGTCGTTTCTTAACACTAACATTATTGTTTTTTCACTTGGGAAATTTGGATGGAACAGCCGAAAGGAGTTAAGAATAAAGCAGGTGATCCAAGACAAAGATGTGAAGCTTGGTCAGCGAATGAAGTCAACTTTGCCTGATCCGACTCAAGTCGTTCAACTATCATGGCAGCCAAGGTCAGGTACTCTTGTAGATCATTAATTTTGTTATACACTTGTACTGTTTAATCTTGGAAGTGTTATAGAAAAAATTCCTCAGAAATATTACATCATTTCCTCTTTAATTTTAGTCATCAAAATTCATTTTTTCCCGCTTTTGATGCATGACTATTGATTCCTTGGCACTCTTGGCCCTTCCGACCTTTCACCAGGCTCACTTTACTTACTATTCCCCAATTAACCTTTGCCCCATAGTTGACTTGAGAGGGCCAAAAGTAGGAAGAAATTCATACTTGTACACCACAAGTACAGAAGTTGAAAGTTAGCGACCACAAATTGGGAATGCCCTAATTAGTAATCTAGGAAAAAGCGGAAGATTTTCTATGTTCTTAAAATACAAGAATGCCGCAATTGTACAAAGTCTTGACTCCGTCACTGCTTAGTGTCTGGAATACAAGAAAATTATCCAACCTCAAATGTTATCATCACTGAGACATAAATGAACAATTGTGAATTATTATGTTAAAATTCTATTTACATAATAAATTCCCTGTGTTGCCACAAAAACTGGTTGTGTAAACATTTGATTTCTTTTCATGGATAGGGTCTTTTTATACAGAGGTTTCCTATCAGAGGAAGAGTGTGATCACTTAATGGATTTGGTAAGTCTGTATTGTGTACCACCTTAGTTTATTCTCTTTGCGTCCTTTTCTTTTTTTATTTCATTATGTGAACAGAGCATTTCATATGCACATACTACAAGTCTACAACATTATTGTTGTAGGTTCATGCCAAGCATAACAGTTCTGCTGAAAACGGTGCTTCAGATTATAGTAATATGGAGAAGGTGACAACTGGTGTGGTTTTTTTTGACTTGGAACATATATAAGCTCCTTATTTCCATCATTTTAATATCATGGAATGACCGAACATGCAGTTGTAAGTAGTTTAAATAAGGAATGTAGTTTGTTTGTTTGTTTGTTTGTTTGTTTGTTTGTTTGTTTGGATCTAGGATGAAATTGTTGCTGGGATTGAAGAAAAAATTTCAGCTTGGACCTTTCTGCCCAAAGGTATCGTCTGTTATCATTTTCAGATTTTCTAAATGTGTTTTGAAAGTCAACACTCTACATGGCTTACTTTCAAAACCATCTGTCTTCTTTGAAATGGTGAGTTGCTTTTTTCCCTTCATTTCCCAGAGAATGGCAAGCCCTTCAAGGTTTTTCATAATGAGTTCGATGATCCTGAGAAAAAGTACAGCTATTTCGATAATAATTCCACTGAAGTGAAAGATGCACCCCTAATGGCCACCGTAATTTTATACATCTCCAACATCACTGCTGGCGGGCACATCCTTTTCCCTGAATCAAGGGTAAGACATATATTGACACAGCTACTGTTACTCTAATTTGCTTATAAGTTATAACCAAATAACCACATGAGCTAAACCTCACCTCCTGGGATCTTGTTTGAAACTCGGTAAATAACAATGAAACGAAATAGCATGAAAAAAGAGTAAAATAAAAAGGAAAGAAATGTGGCGGCGGTGGGGGCAGGTTAAATCTCAGTAAACTTATAAGAGAAAATTCGCACAATAGGAGCAAAACATATCTAAAATATAAAAATAGAAATTAATGTTTAAATTTCCTTAAATAGGAGTAATAATTTGTGATCGGCCAAAAACACCCTATAAGGTTTGAAGCTATTAACAACCGCCTCCGCCGCCGCTTCCGCCAGCCATGTACCACCGCCACTGGTCGCTGTATTGTTGCCACCGGTCACTAGACCTTCGCTGGGCTAATGCCACCCTAAGCTCTAACCCTAAGCACTAAACACTGGGGTATTTTTTACCACACACAATATATTACTCCTATTTAGGGAAATTAAGACATGAACTCTTATTTTTGCACTTTTCTTATATTTTACTTATTTTATTTGTAAACTTTTGTTATCTCTGATGAACTGATGATATTATATTTCGTTTTCCAAGGTAGCCAAACATTATAAAATAATTTATTTATTTGCCTTCCCCAAGCATTGTCTATAATCCAAAGACATTATTGAGGATCCTTCTGGGGTGAGTTGGTCTCCATTTAATAGCCTAAACCTCTCGTTTGCAGAGCAAGGTATGGTCCAAATCCAATTGCGGGGAGAGTAGTAATTCCGTCAGACCTACTAAAGGAAATGCACTACTGTTTTTTAATGTCAATCTTAACGCGACTCCCGACAACACTAGTACTCATGTCAGATGTGCTGTCATTGAGGGCGAAATGGCGTACGCTATAAAGTTGTTCTATCCGACAGCTGTTACTAGAGAAAAAGAGGATCCAATTGGGATCACCTCTACCGATTGCATGGATGAAGATGATAGTTGTCCTCGCTGGGCTGACATTGGGGAGTGTGATAGAAATCCTGTTTTCATGGTTGGTTCTCCTGATTACTATGGTACGTGCCGAAAAAGTTGCAATGCATGCTAATAGGTTGGTCTCTTATAGTAATGTGTTCTGTGTTGCTACTAATACTCATTTGTTTATGCTTTCATGATGCCACTTCTTACATAGGAAAGAATCATATCCATTTTGTACATACAGATAGCTGTTATTCATGTATGTATTTCAATTGTACTTCATATTATTGCATTGAAGTATGTGAACCTCAGATGTTTTCACTTGGAGCAATTTCAGTTTTACACTTGACCAGACCTAAACACACCAAACTTAACCAAATAAAACCTAATCAGATTAGACATTAGTCAAGTACTAGAAAGTTTTAGCTCAAGTGAAAACATCTATGTCCAAGTGTAATATTATTTTGAACTGCACTAGAACAAATTAAACTGGACTGAACCGTACTAAAACAAACTAAACAAAAGGAACACATTAAAACCCTAATAAAAATCTAGCACTCTACCCAAATTGAATTGCATTGAATTAAAGGCAGTTTGGATTCAATGCGGATGTGATACCCCCTACTTTGCCTTAAAAAGCTGAATAGTCCTAATAGTCCGAATTCGGCAAAAAGTACAGAGAATAGTTTAAAAAAAGTTAGAAGTTAGAACTACTGACAAAAAAATGAACACCAAACCTAACAGTCCTCACATGACATGCCTCTACAGTTTTGTTGGAACAAATTAATTATGAACAAAAAATATTATGGTGTACATTCTTCATTATTTGTTGTATTGCAATCATGCAATGTTTAGCCCCAAATGCGATGTGTTGGTCCAAAAAAGGATGCTCCTAGTTTTTTTTGGAAAAAAGCTACAATAGACACTCAAGCAGGAATCAGAAAAGTACTACGAAAATAGAAAGTTGCTAAAGAGTTTGATAGCCAGAAATTGCATGTCTATTATTTGAATCGGACTTGCCTTTTATAGGCGATTACACATGGTAACTGCCAAATATACTAATGGCTAATTAATTACAACAATAATACAGAATTAAATACATAATTAAACAGCGCATTAATTGTTGGTCGTTACTCTTCGTGGCTGGTGGGTCGGCTTGGCTGGCAGGCCTTACGCCCGAGTACCCTCCCGTTGGGCTCGAAGGCAGACTCTCCTCTGGACAGGAGGCAACAGACTCCCTATTGGACTGGAGGCAGGCTCCTGGCTGGACGGGAAGACAGGCTCCTAGTTGGGCCAGAAGGCAGGCTTCCGGTTGGGCCGGTAGAGTCTTGGGTTTCCTGTTTGTTAGACTTTCGCTCCTTGACGGGCTTGATCGGTTGGGCTGGCTCGAGCTTTGGGTTGCTGGGCCAACTAGTCGGGCTGGCCTGGCGAGATAATGGACCTGAGCTTGGGCTGCTGGTCCATGTCGTGGGTCTGGACTCACGAGTCCAAGTTCGGGGCTTGGGCCGATTAGGCTTTGGGCCTAGTCCCATAACCCCATCACGAGTCCCCCACTGACTTAGTCGAGTAGTAGACTCGGCTAAGATGGAGTAGTCCATGTCAGTTGCCAATCTAAAATTTATTCACATGCAAGGGTGCATTAATTGTGGATCTTGTCAATCCCCCAATTTATGGAGATCTAATTTTAATAAAGTTTCCAAAAACTCCTGAAATTCATTATTAATTTTTCAATTATCATTTTTAGATTTTTATTCCCCCCCCCCCTTTTTTTGTTTTCTTCTTTCCTTTCTTCTCCTTCCTTGTTTCTTGGATCGGGGGAAATCCACGTGCATGGTTCTTGGGCGTCGCGTCTTCTGCACGTGATGGGACATGTGCGAACTGTAACCCTAGCGCCGTGGTCAACGATATGCTTTGATCGACACATCGCAAGTAGGATCTCCCCTTCACTGGATTCGCTGGCGTCAGCGGCTGTCCTGCACTACTCTCGAGTTGTTGGTGTCGTCTTTTAAATCCGGCGGCTGTCCTGCAACGTTCGTTGGCGGTTGTCGGCCGGCGTCAATTCTGAGACATGACGACTGTCACGCGCTGCTCTCTAGCGGCCGGTGTCAGTCCTGAAACATGGTGGCTGTCTTACTACCAACTAGGGCGTTTGGAAGGCCGACAATCACCTTTGTCTTGCACTGCTCTCTGGCAACCAACGTTGATTCCCAGCACGTGGGACACCAGACTCGGGATACAATGTCGGCAGTCGGGTCTTGAGGGAGTCAAGCAACTAAAGTTGAGGCAATCTAGCGCCCACGTGAGCCCCCCTCGTGTATGGCTTCACCTTTGAATGGACGGTGTTGGTTGGGGACCGACGGACGCCACTCTGCCGGCAGGCGTTGCTCAGGAAGCTGACAGCTGTCCCGCAGCTGGCCGACATCACCCTTCCTCTAGGCGGTCAAGGGTGCTCCCCTTGTCGACACATTACATGTTGGTCGACAGTTTGACCATGGAGGGGGTGGGGCGCTCCCATCACAGAATCGACGACCAAGAACTCCACTCAGAAACGCAGACTGACGACGGGGGTTCCTCCAATGTTGGCGTCTCCGTGGCGAATGACAGTACGGCAGTACCAAACTTCCCCCCAATTGCGGTTGACAGATCCTTGCAGACTATGCACGACAGACAAGATGGTGTGAATGGGTCGTCGCCTAAGGTAGATGGAAAACATGGGTGACCATGAAACCTGCACAGGTCAGCCGCGACTATAGAGCACACATGCATGTGGGTGACGTTACCGAACGACATGCTGATGTACTCCTCAAGTTGATTTTAGCTGGGCGGATTACTATCTCTGAGGGTCGACTCCTCAATGTTCCAGATATAATGCATGTGTAACCCGTGCCAGGTTCCGACGACGATTCTGACGTTCAAGAGGACCCAAGTTTTTAGTGGGACCTTGATAATAGTGGAATATCACACATCCCTTCTCGTATCACAGACGAGGACCTTGTCATAACATACAATCTGATTGGTGGAAATTGTTCGTTGAAACTTCTAGTGGCTACTGATGTATTGAATGATCCCCCAGCCCCTACTTTGGGTTCATATCTGCTCTCTGAAGCTAGGGATGGTCGTGCCTTTGCATCCCTTCCTGGTGCAGTTCCTCGACTTCCTCGGAGTGGCGCCAAGTCAGCTGTCTCCAACGGCTCACATGTTCGTTGCAACTTTTGTGGAGCGATGTAAGGACGTGGGCATCACTCCCACGATTGATTTGTTTTGTAGCTGCTTCTACTGGCGTGCTTCCAGCTTCTTTGCCTCAGTCTCCCAGAGGTCAGTGAACAAACTATTCCAGTCGGGTTACCCCGACTCAGGTAAGGGCTAGAGGAAGAGATAGATTTGGGTGTTTGACCCCCCACCTCCCGTCACCTCCTTTTAGTGGGGTGAGCGTGTTCGGAAAATTGACCGGGTCGCCCTCACCCCTAGTCTCAAGCCCTCCATTGAGACACTATTTACAGGGAGTCCCCACTCCATCATCTCATACTTAGGTGATTGTTGCCTCCTCAATCCATGTTTGGTTACTTTGTATTTCACTTTCCTCATTATTGTGTTTTTCTTTTGTAGATGTGCCAGATATGTCTGAGAAGTCTGCCGTCGGGGGCGAATCCGATGAGGAACCTCAACCAATCGTCATCCTTGCAACTCCCAGGGCTGCCAAGGGGAAAGAGCACGGAGCCCCTCGGATTGTGCAGCGCAGATTCCGAGGAAGGTGAGGATTGCCTTCAAGCCTAAATCGGCCGTATCCGTGAAGGAGAAGCAGAAGAGGAATATCATTGACCGGCTAGTCGAGTTGGATGGATTCGATGACGAGGAGGAGCCTCGCCTTGTCACTGCCCCTGTAGCCCCAAGGCTGTTGCGGGGAAATAGCTCGAAGCCCCTCAGCCTTCGCCTTCTTCGAGACCTGCTCCTCTCGGTCTATGGGGCTCCGAGCTCTATCCCCACAACGGCCTTAGGGGCCACATGGGAAGCAACTGGGAAAACTCCTCCTCCTCGTCATCAGATCCATCCAAGTCGACTAGCTGGTCAATGATATTCCTCTTCTGCTTCTCCTTCACTGGTACGGCCGACTGAGGACTGAAGGCAATCCTCACCCTCCTCGGAATCTGCGATGCACGGTCCGAGGGGGCTCCGTGCTCTTTCCCCATGGCAGCCCTAGGAGTTGTAAGGATGACAACTGGTTGAGCCTCCTCCTCATCGGATTCGCCCCCGATGACAAACTTCTCAAGCATATCTGGCACATCTGCAAAAAAAAAAAAAAAAACACGAGCATGAGGAAGGTGAAATACAAAGTAGCCAAACATGGACTAAGGAGACAACAATCACCTAAGTATGAGCTGATGAAGTGGAAGCTGCTTGCAAATAGTGCCTCGATGGAGGGCTTGAGACTAGGGGGTGAGGGCGACCCGGTGACACTTCTGAACACGCTCACCCCACTGAAACGGAGGTGACGGGAGGTGGGGGTTGGACACCCAAATCCATCTCTGCTTCCATCACCGGCCTCTGGGAGACTGAGATAAAAAAACTGAAAGCACTCCATTGGAAGCAACTAGAAAACAAATCAATCGTGGGAGTGATGCCCACGTTCTTACATCACTCCACAAAAGCTGCAGCGAACATGTGAGCCACCAGAACTAATTGACCTGACCCCAACCAGAGGAAGTGGAGGAGGAACTACACCAGGAAGGGATGCAAAAGCACGACCATCCCTAGCTCCAGAGAGCAGATATGGACCCCAAAGTAAGGGGTGTGGGATCATTTAATACATCAGTAGCCACCGAAAGTTTCAACAAACAATTTCCACTAATAAGGTTGTATACTATGACAAGGTCCTCGTCTGTGACATGAGAAGGGAGGTCCGTTATCCTACTATTATCAAGGTCCCACCAAAAACTCGGGTCCTCGAAAACATCGGAATTGTTGTCGGAATCTGGCACGTCCACAGGTTGCATGCACTCTATCTGGAACATTGAGGAGTCGACCCTCATGGATAGTAATTCGCCCAACTAAAATCAACACGTATAGAACATCAACCTGCCACTCGGTAACATCGCCATGCATGCGTGGTCAGGGCTACGATTGACCCGTGCAGGTTGCATGATTGCCCCATGTTTTCAATCTACCCTAGGTGACGGCCCATTCACACCATTCTGCTCGCCGTTTATGGTGGCGTGCAAGGATCTGCCAACCGCAATCAGAGGAAGTCAGGTACTGTCATCCACCATAGAGACGCCAACATCAGGGGAACCCTCGCCGTCAGGCTGCGTCTATGAGTGGAGTTCTTGGCCATCGATTCTGTGATGGGAGTGCCCCACTTCTTGTATGGTCAAATTTGAAGGGGCTGACTAGCAAAAACAAAAAAAAAAAGTCAAACCGTTGGCCTACATGGAGTGCGTCAACAAGAGGAACACCCTTGACGGCTTGACTACCTAGAGGAAGAGCGATGCCAGTCAGCAATGGGACAACTGCCAGTTTTCTGAGCAACGCCTGCCTGTAGAGTGGCAGCCGCCGGGGACGGGGGCAGTCATGTTGGCGCTAGCTTGTCTCAAATAGTTGCCTGACTCCCTCAAGACCCGGCTGCAGCCGCTGTAACCCGGGTGTTCCACAGGCTAGGAATTGACGCCGGCCGCCAGAGAGCAACGCAAGACAAAGGTGGTCACGTCTTTAGCCTTCCAAATGCCCCATCCGGAGGTGGGACATCCGTCATGCTTCAAGACTGCCGCAGATCGCCAGAGAGCAGCGCAAGACAACTGCCATGTCCCAAGATTGACGCCGGTCGCCACAGAGCAGTGCATGACGACTGTCGGATTTCAGAGATGACATCGGCAACCCGAGAGTTGCATAAGACAGCCGCTGGCGACTAGGAATCAGGTGAGGGGAGACCCAAACTGCGATGCGTCGGTCAAAGCCTGTCATTGATCATGACACTAGGGCTACAGTTCACACAAGTCCTGTCACGGGCAGAAGACGCGACTCCCAAGACCCCTGTGCGTGGATTTCCGCCGGTCTAAGAAATAAGGAAAGATAAGAAGAAAGGAAAGAAGAAAAAGAAAAAAAAAAGAAAAAAAAAAGAAAAAAAAGATTTTTTTTCTTTTTTCACGACCCTTAAGGGAAAAAATCCGAAAATTATAATAAAAAATTAATAATGAATTTCAAGAATTTTCGAAAGCTGACCCGGGTTCTCAAATCTGGAAGAAAGCTTACTGCTGAAGTGCTGGGATTCTGAGGGAAATAATTTGGGGTCTTTTAAAATTGAGGGCTTTATTAAAATTAGGATATCTCCATAATTTGAGGGATCGGCAAAATCCACAATTAATGCTCCCTGGTATGTGAATAAATTTTAGATTGGCAGCTGACATGGACCACTCCCTCTTGGTCTAGTCTACTACTCGATAGGGGCGGAGCCAGGATATGAGGGAGAGGGGGCCGGGGTGAAATGAAATATAAAAAACATTTCAAATAAAAATGAAATAAACATTAAATGATGTACTCATATTCATCTAAAATATTCAAAAGTACATGATCATACCGTGTGAGTTAAAATTTATAAACGTCACTCTTGTATGTCATAGAAATCATGGATAAGAGAATCCTTCTAGTGTTTAAGCTCTTAATGTCATTACTATAGTAAGACAATAAATATTGTAGGTGTATTGTAAAAACTTTTTTCTATGTTTTCTCATATAATATTACGTTATTGTAATTTCACGTTTTTATAATTTCTACATTCTTGATTATAGTGTTTGGCTAACTGAAAATTGGACGGAGGGAGTAATAATCTTTAAATAATTAATGTTGTTTCTTTAGTTAAGTATTCACTAATTATTGAATTAGTTATTTATGTAGATTAGTAACTGTAAAATATAACCCAATATGAAATGTTAACAATGTTAAAGAAATTGATAATCACAGATTACGTATCTAGGAACAAAACAAGTTAAACCATTTAACTAACTATGCTAGATTTTTTTAGTCAATAATAATAAACTAATGAAAATACTTTCAATGTAAAATAATTAATAAATTGCCGACTATTTCCGAACAAGAGTTGAATGGAGTTCTGCCGTTAGTATACACGATGTAAGATTTTGCCTAGGCTCTTTTTACTATATTAAATGAGTAAATGTGATTCAAAAATAATTTTAATAAATACTAGTATATTTTAATTTTGGGCTTGGAATGCTTTGTCTCCATATTTCAATACGATGGGCCTTTAGAGCCGTAGTAGCAATAAGTTACGTAGTACGTAGACACGTAGTACATATAGCACCAAGTAGCAACTAAGCCAACTAGTAATAGTCTTTAAAACACTTTCGTAAAGGTTTGGGGGGATAAAAAAATATTTAAGTCTACTAACTTAAAAAAAATGAGTAAAGGGTCAGTTTGGTCCTCGAAGTTGCAAAAAAGGCGTCAAATAAGTCCTTATATAGAAGATTCTGTCCGGACATGCCATTTGAGGTGGCTCCCAATGGAATTTTGTGATAATTTTTTTTGAGCATCTTTTTCATTAAGTCTTGTTTACTCATACCAAATTTCAGCTAAAAATTCAATCGGGAAGACATTCAAATAAATTCTTGAAGATAACATCGCTTTTAACGGCACAATTATCTTCAAGAATTCATTTGAATGTCTTCCCCATTGAATTTTTATCTGAAATTTGGTATGAGTAAACTAGACTTAATGAATAAGATGCTCAAAAAATTTCATCAAAAAATTCCACCGGGAGCCACCTCAAATGGCATGTCCGGACAGAATCTTCTATATAAGGACTTATTTGACCCTTTTTTTGCAACTTCGAGGACCAAACTGACCCTTATCCAAGAAAAAAAAATAGTTGGGAGGGGCCATGCCCCCCTTGCCAATCAAGCTACCTCCGCCCCTGCTACTCGACTAAGGGAGTGAGAGACTCGTGATGAAGTTATGGGATTAAGACCAAAGCCTAACCGGCTCAGGCCCCGAACTTGGACTCGTGAGTCCAGGCCACGACATGGATGAGAGGCCCAAGCTCGGGTCCACTATCTCGCTAGGTTAGGCTGATCAGTTAGCCCATCAACCCAGAGCTCGAGTTGGCCCAACCGATCAAGGAGCGGAAGCCCAAGACGGCATGCCTGCTGGCCCAACCGGAAGCCTGACTTTCGGACCAGCTAGGAGCCTGCCTTTGGCCCAGCAGGGAGCCTGCTTCCAGTCCCGCCCCGTCTGCCTTCAAGCCCAGCGAGAGACTGCCATCCAGTCCAGCAGGAGGGAGCTTGAGCGTCAGGCCAGCCAGCCAGGAAGAGTAACGATCTATAGTTTTATATAGTAAAGTTGAGTTAAAAACTAATGATACGTCAACATTTTATTGGATAATGCAAATCCTATTATCACGGTTATTTCAAATAAATAACTCTATACATCACGGCTGATTTGGAGCAAAAGAAGGAGAAATAATCTCTCATTTTTAAAGTGATATAACTTTTTTATTTGTAATCCAATTTTTACAAAAAATATATCAAAATTCATAACTTTTTATGATCTTTCATATGACACCAGTATCATATATAAAAAAATTATTATTTTCTACGTCCCTTAGAAAGGCTCTCACATAGGGTTGTATACGAACCGAATCGAGTCGAATAATGAGATTTTGTATTTGTATTTGTTTAATTTTTTCGAATACGAATTCGAATTCAAATATGAAACGAATATTAATTTCGATTTGTATTTGTATTTGTTTAACAATACGAATAGTTAACAAATTATATACGAATATCGAATCGATTTGAGCATAGGTTAAATATTAGTCAAATACGAAGTGTCACTTTAAAATAACTTTTCTTATACTCCGTATTGTTTATGTTGTAAATGCATGTTATGACTTAATATGTGTTCTTAGAATAAAAATTTAATGAATCAATGCATTTTAGATGTTGCACAATATACTAAAATGAATTAATTTTATGATTAATAAATATAAATCTATTTCAAACCTTTTGAGATAAACACTAACACACACATATCAGAAATTATACTTATAATGTGTAAAATAAGTTGACAATTGTATATATCAAAGTCAAACAACTCTAATTTTATTCTTCAAATCGAATACATAATTATTTGTTTTGTATTTGAAAGACATTTGAACCAAAAAATTGATTTGTATTCGTATTTATATTCTGATTTATTACATATAGGCTTCAAATCTGTATGCAAAAATATATATATGGGCTACACGTTGAGAATATTGCTATCTTTTAAAAGTTATTATAGTGTTATTACTATTATTATTAATATTGATATTAATACTACCACTATTATTAATCGAATATATTTGATTAATATTCGAATCGAATACACTGATATTCTTATTTTCAGTAGATAAAACTTGGATATTTAAAGTAATAGATTAAGAAGACTTAAGGTTGACCGGAGAATAGTGGACAAGAGCTTTTGAATGAGATAAATGTAGTATTTTATGGGTGTTTTCTTTTGGACTGAAATTTGCTGGTTTGGTTTGATTTGATCTGATCTGGTAAACGTCTGGTCTTTGTTTATTTTATAACTACGGAAGACTAATCTAATTTGGTCTGATCTGGTCTGGTGTGGTCTGGTCCGGTCCGGTATGGGACTGAAAATAGTCCAAAAGAAAACATCCTAACTAACAAAACTTAGTTAAAAATTCCATTGATTTATAAAAATTCAATTTTCAGTAGAAATTAAACATTTAATTCATGTAAGTTGATTTGGTTCATCATTGCTATTCACTACATGTATCACTCACTACTCATTTGGAGAAAGAGAAGGAGAAAGAAACTTCTTTAGCAACTTCCATTTGCTCATTTGGAGCAAGTCCGATTCAAATAATAGACATGAGATTTCTGTCTATCAACTTCTTTAGCAACTTCCATTTGCGTACTACTTTTTTGATTCCTGTTTGAGTGTCTATCGTAGTTTTTTCCCAAAAGCCTAAGAGCGTCCATTTTTGGACCAACATAATGAACAACCACCATACTCATGTTTTGTATAATCATAATTTTTGTCCATTTTAACTTGACATTATATGCATAAATAACTCATGATGTGCTACGGACCTAGGTCATATTAGGCTTATACCAATGCATAAGCCTAAGTGTAGAACTCACTCCCAAAGACTAGGGGTTGGCATAAAACCCGAACCGGTACCGAACCGAACATCGGGTACTTATATGGTTCTATAAATTTTTATCCCGAACCAAAACTGTACCGTTTGAAACGGGTACAGGACCGGTCCTAGTAATTTAATAATGAAAAAAAGAGAAAGAGGTCGGATAGGGACTCGATCTTACAAAAAATGTCAAATAAGGCCTTATATAGGAGGTCTGTCCGGTCGCCGCCTTTTGGGGCGGTTCCCGGTGGAATTTTGATGAATTTTTTTAGCATCTTATTCATTAAGTCTATTTTACTCATACCAAATTTCAGCTAAAACTTCAATCGGGAAGACATTCAAATAAATTCTTGAAACTAAATGCGCAATTATCTTCAAAAATTTATTTGAATGCCTTCCCGATTAAAGTTTTAGCTGAAATTTGTTATGAGTAAACTAGACTTAATGAATAAGATGCTCAAAAAAATTTATCAAAAAATTCCACCGGGAACCGCCCTAAATGGCGGCAACCCGACAGAACCTCCTATATAAGGTTTTATTTGACATTTTTTTGTAAGTTCGAGACCCTGTCTAACCCTTTTCTCCATTTTTTTCAATTTTGACTTTTTTTTTTGCTTCAAACAATCACACGACAAAGCCGTTTAAAAAATAAAGGCGAACAGTCGGTAAATTATACCATACACCCGGTTGTATGGTGAGAACCATACAACCAGGTATTTTTGCAATTAAGTCGTCTTCGTCGCCTAATCATCCCAGTTGTTATATCTTCGTCCGCCTTCATCCTCAATCCAGTCGCTATTCTTTACTCCGTACTTTTCTTCCGCCGCCATATCATCCACTTTCGTTTCCTGCTAAATCGTTTTACTTTTTATGTTTTGTCTTCTTTTATTTTGTTCGTTACTTTTATAGCTAGTGGATTTATTAGTGCTTTGATTTTCTTTTGTTTTGTCTTTTTCCTTTTTTGTTTTTTTCGTTTCTTTGTCGGTTGGCTTAATTGCAATAGGCTTGATTGCATTTCACATTAGAAATGAGTTATACCTTAAACTCAAATGAGTAAAACACCTAAAAATGAACATAAACAAATGAGTTTTTGAATTTTTGGATACTCATTTTGTAAATTATGTATGTTCATTTAGTAACTCCGTTATGCTGATTTTTAAAATGCTTTTAGCAATGCATATTTCAAAAGTCCCTATAACATTAAATTTATATAAGAGTTGATTATAGACACGAGATCACAAATCATGATACTCAATCGCAAATTGTAATACCCAATAATGGAGATTTGATGCTCACTGAAAATGTATTGATGCTCAACGAACAAAACTTACAATTTTCATATCAATGCTCATCTTGTAAGTTATATATGCTCATTTGTATAGGTCTAATACTCATTAAATATATTTAAATGAGCATACTAGAAAATTTAAATGAGCTTTTGAATATTTCAATGCTCATTTTATAATATATGTATACTCATTCAGGACTAGTGTTATGCCCATTTTAAAATGTTATATCAATACTTATGTAACTAATGCTCAACACAATAGGTATCATGCTCATTAAGAGTACATTATTTGCTTCATAGAATATATGAAGCAAATATCGTGAAACTCATGGTTAGCCTCCTAATATTCAATAAAAATAGGCGAGATGCTCACTAAAATTACACTATTGCTCATTTAGCGGAAGCCGCGATTTTTAGTAACCTTCCACTTTAATGTTATACTCAATTATTATGAAAATGTATAATATAAAATATTATTAAATGTTTTAGTTTTATATTTTTGATTCATATATGCAAGAGTTGATTATAGATATATGAGCACTGACCATGAGACTCAATTGCATTTGTTCAATACTCAATAGAGGAGTTTTAATGCTCAATAAAAATGTATTGAAGTTCAACTAAAAAATTTACGGTTTATACTCATTTTGTAAGTTACGTTTGTTCAATTTGTACTCATATTATGCTCATTTTTAAAATGTCATATTCATGCAAATTTTAATGCAAATTTTAAAAGTTGCATATGACATTGGATACACATTGTTAAGATCTTAATACTCAATTGAATAAGTTCAATGCTCATTAAAAGTGTTTTAATAATCATATCAATGCATTTTTTAAAGTACTATTTTACATTAGATTCACATATTGAATTACATATTGAATTTCATAAGATTTGATTATAAATATAATTTATTGGGAAAATGGAAACTAATAATCCAACCTTTTAGCGGTCTTCTTTCAATAATCCCACCTTTTGATTATTCATGAATAATCCAACCTTTGCACCTCATCTTCATTCACTGGTCCCTGACCGGTTGATGACCTGTTATTCCAAGCTATTTTCTTATCTTTGCAAATCATTATACCATAAATCTCATCTTTCACAAAGATGATATTTTGGAAAGTTAAAAAAATAACTTGGAATAGTAGGTCATTAACCGACCAGGGACCAATGAATGAAGATGAGGTGCAAAGGTTGGATTATTCATGAATAATCAAAAGGTGGGATTATTGAAAGAATACCTCTAAAAGGTTGGATTATTAGTTTCCATTTTCCCTAATTTATTAAGTTTTTATAAAAAGAAAAAGTAATAAAAAGAAAGTGACTTAGAAGGTATGCGGCAGAGATCACGATACTGAATATGAGACTTCTAATACTCAACATAATAGGTCTGATGCTCATTAAACGTTCATTATTGCTCATTCAGAAGAAACAGTGACTTTCATCTCAATAACCAAGGTTTGATGCTCAATTAAAATGTCATGATGTTCAACTAACAAAGCAACTAACAAATTCACTAATACTCATTTTGTAAGTTATGTATGCTCATCTGGTACTGATCTTATGCTCATTTTGTAAATGTCATATCAATGTCATAAATATAATGTAGTAAGTTTTTATAAAAGACAAAATAACAACAAAGAAAGTGAATTAGAAATTATGAAGTAGAGATCACGATTCTAAATATTGGACTCATAATACTCAATATAATAGGTCTGCTGCTCATTAAAGGTTCATTAGTGCTCATTTACACGAAACGGTGATTTTATCTCGATAGTGGAGGTTTGATGTTCAATGAAAATGTGATGATGTTCAACTAACAACTTACGATTTAATAACAACAAAGAAAGTGAATTAGAAAATATGAAGCAGAGATCACAATTCTAAATATTAGACTCCTAATACTCAACATAATAGGTCTGTTGCTCACTAAAAGTTCAGTAGTGCTCATCTTTCTGAACAATTCTAAATAATAGACTCCTAATACTTTTCTTTAATTCTGAGTCTTTTGTTGTTTTCAATAAAATGTACAATGGGGGTTGGAGTTGTGCAAAGAGCACATGAAAAACTAACTATAGCTAGAGAT